GGGGGGAAGGGTGATTTGAGAGGCTGGGAGGAGAAAGGGAAGGAGAAGTGAGCGCATAAAGTCCTGTCCTCAGCTATACTTTCTCCTGCAACATTTATACCGCTGTTTAACATTTCCTTCTCAACAACTCGAGGTCGGTCCTTTGTTTTACGAGGGAGAGCTGAGCTGTTTATCTGATGGCTGACTAGCATCAAAACTAGACCTTGTCTTTGTACATTCAGAAACATTCTCGTCTTCCTGGAAAGCATACAGTGTAAATAGATAACGGATTAAGCACTCAAAAACTTTCAAACTGATAACATTTTTGTCGGTTCAGAGTTAAAACGATTCCGTCTGTAACAAGATAACCTTATGTCACAAATGGAACTCCTTTATTATGTTTTTGTTTTAGTGAAAACTTTTATGGCACAGCAACACAGTTGGTCATAGTTTTCTTTCAACCAACTCAAGGTTGCTCCTTTGTTTTACGAGAAAGAAGTGAGCTGTTTATCTGATGGCTGACTATCATCAAGGCTAGACCTTGTCTTTGTTCAAATTCGTGCGTTGTTGTTGTTGTTGTTACTGAGACGGTTTCATTAGGTATCAGGCATGGAACAAAAACTTGAGAACAATAAATGGTCTTTCTTTTTCTCATTTATAAAAGCACTCTGAGTTTAATTTTGTCTACCTCAACTCAAAACGGAGGGGGCAAAGGAGGTGAGGGGGTGGGGGCTGAAAGTGAAGACGAAAAGCAGACGACAGAACATTGCTAAAGAACAGGAAAGGAGGTGAAAGTAGACAATTTTAGAGAAGAAAATTTTTCCGGCACTACTCGGATTCGAACCTGGGACCTTTTAACGAGAGGCGAAGACCTTAACCTCTAGGCCAGAGTCAAAAGATTCTGTCTGTCACTAGATAATTTTGTGTCACAAATGGAACTCCTATATTACGTTTTTGTTTTAGTGAAAACTTGTATGGCACAGCAACTCAAATAGGTCGTAATTTTCTTCCAAACAACTCAAGGTCGGTCCCTTTGTTTTATGAGGAATAGCTGTTCTGTTTATCTGATTGATGATTGGCTAGTACCTAGGCTTTACCTTGTACGTCTTTGTTTATTGTTGCCACAGTAGGTTCCTGGCTGGTTGGGAGGGAAATTGAGGTGGGCAAAATCCGGATAATTTATCCGGATAACCCGATAATTATCAATGAAACATTGTTCGAATTCAGACTCTTTTAACTCCATTTCCCCTTTCCTGACCCGTTTGTCAAAGTGGATGCACCCATTTGTTGAATTGATGCTAACCCGTTTGCCGAAGTGGGTGCACCCATTTGTTGAAGTGATGCTAACCCGTTTGCCGAAGTGGGTGCACCCATTTGTTGAAGTGATGCTAACCCGTTTGCCGAAGTGGGTGCACCCATTTGTTGAAGTG